TCTTTATTTGCAGTTTTGCTGAGTTCATTTCTGGCAGCTCTTCAGGGGTTACCCTTTAAGGTCCACTTTCTTCTCCTATTGCTCCTCTAGTGGCTCTTATTTGTAATCTGTCTCCTTATCCTATTGTTTCTTTTTTTTCCAACTGCCTTTRGATTTTCTTTCTTAGCATTTCTTTCTCTGCAGTTCTAATTCTTGTCTAAGAAGTCATCCCTACCAGTTGTCTTGATCATARAGAACCTAGGAAAGCAGAGTTGAGTAACTTGTCACACATGTGGAACTATAAGCACGTATACTTGCATTAGGTTTTAGGTAATACTGAAAGCTGAAATAGTTAACCTGGAGATAAAATTAATTTGAGTGAATTCCTAAGTAGAATATGAGGATGTTTATCATATGTTACATGTTTATGTAAAAGTGGTACAAAACCAGCAGAAAATAGTGCTTTGGAGGATGGTGATGTAGCTCAGCAGTAGAGTGCTTTACTAGGCTCTGAGTGTGATCCTCAGGACTCAAAAAAAAAAAAAAAATTCCTGCTTAGTTTCTTGGAAGTGAATCTCTGTTGAGGTAATATGGGGTAACATGTGACTTATGTCACCTCTTGTGATTTATGTGGTAGTACCTATTACAAGGAGAGAAGTTATTAAAATTTTTTTGCTACTCCAGGTAAATGATCTTTTCCCTTGAATCTCCTGTTTTGTAAACATTGTTYACATGAATTTTCAAATGTAAATTGCTTCTGAGCTTTTCCTAGCATTAGTATGATAATTAACTACATTGGAGAGTGCTTCTGCTTTGGGTTCTATGTGAGTGAAAGAGACATGGAGGTATTGTGAGCTGTTCTCAGCCCTGAACAGATCCATTGTATCACATAAATTATTTTATAGTACATATGTTATAATTTTTTGTGTTTTCAGCCTCTGAKTTTTCTCAGAGTTGAAGAGAAATATTGCTTATGTATCTTTAATACAGTCAGAGTATGTCTGCCAATTTTGTGCTTTAAAATTCACAAGAAAAAGATTTCCTCCAGAGAGCTGGTTTTTATGTTTTCAAAAGCTTTCCTTTAAAAATTCTTCATTACTCTTTTAAATTAATAAGTCACGTGAAGAATAAAAACTGAGTTGTTTTGCATTTTCCTGTGGTGCTAGATCCACTGAGATCTTGTACATAGTTTCTCAAAGATGTTTCTGGGATTAATTTCAATTATTATCTCTGATGAAGCCTGTAAATATGAAGCTGCAGAAAAAATTTTCATGATGTAAGACATGTTTTTCTATATAAATTGCAATACATACAAAAGGTTGACATTTTACATAATAACTTGACACATATTACTTGGTGATGAAGTAACTGCTAAAAATTTAGATGCTATAGTCCTTTTAAATCCTTTTCCCAGTGTTTAAAGTGTTCTAATTTATCAATAAAACAGAATATACAGAATTTAGTAATCTTTGTCTTGCCCATTATTATTCTAATAAATACCTTTCCCTCTGGAATTTAGTATAGTATGTCAATTTCTTTCTGTAAAATGATGTTTTTAARAAAATTACCTATTCTTTGACCCATGCCATACAAGTTAGATTRAAGTTTGCTTATTTATCTAGTTATTTATTTATTGGGTACTGGGGATTGAAGTCAGGGGCACTCGGCCACTGAGCCATATCCCCAGCCCTTTTTGTATTGTATTTAGAGACAGGATCTCACTGATTTGTTTAGTGCCTCGCTTTTGCTGAGGCTGGCTTTGAACTCATGATCCTCCTGTCAGCCTCCCAAGTGGTGAGGATTACAGGTGTGCTCCACTGTGTCTGGCCAGTTTGCATATTTAAATACATAATTTTGTTAATAATTTATCATGCTTTTAATAACTCTGAAGTTATTTCTACCTGTGTATTTTTATGACATGTTTATCCTCATCTGATTAGCTTACATTCTGTGAACCACAAGGCATCTCATCACATCTATAATTTCCAAGCAGGAGTCAGCATAAAGTAGGCCAAGTCTGTGCTGGTGGGCTGCTTTGTGTGGCTGCAAGCTTTCTGATGTCTGACAGGGTGAGAGATACAGCAGGAGCTGGACCCAGAGAACTGTGTGCCTCTGTGATCTGTACTTTTCCAATCTCTCTGAAACTTCTCTTTAAAGAACTGCACAGTTAGCTGTGTTAGTGAGCACAGTGATAACAAACTGAGGTGCTCATTTAGCTTTTTTCACAGTAAATACCACATCAATCCAGGCCTTTTTGTATCTGCAGGCCTATGTCAGTGGTGAGGAGTTCCCATAGGTATGAAAAAAGTGCCATAATAGGATTTGTAACTTTAATTTTGAAAATTTATTTTTATTTCTTAAAAAGACTTTCTGAAAGTCTTTGCTCTTTAGTATTTGGTAGATYTAAGGCTATTCTAGGTGCCGGTTCTCAACCCAGACTATGTGGTAGAATTATGAGATGATGAGGTCCCACTCCTGACTAATCATGTCAGAATTTCTGAGATTTGGACCCAGTCATCAGTGCTTTTTCAGTCTTTAGGTTATTTTAAAATACAATCAAGATTGAGACCTTTGTTATCATTATGTGTCTAGTTGGGGGGCAGGTCCTTCATGTCCTGAATAAAGAATTGAGCAAGATACACAGAAGTAACAGGCAAAGTACAGCTTTATTGAAGATGAAGATGAAGGTAGCATTTCATAAGAGAGAATGAAGTAGGCCAAGTAAAAGAGAGAGGTTTCAAGGCTCCAGTGTCTGGAAATTGGTGTCTTATGCGTGGAGCTGTGAGGTGGTCTCTTCCCTATACATACTGGATTGAATACTTTACCCCATTTGCTCCCATTGGTTATGATAATACCTTATAATACTACCTTATAGCTTATAATTATACCTGATAAGAATAGTGTTCAATTTTTCCCCATTGATTACTTTAGAAAATCTAATTAGAATACTGTCCACTTCACCTCCATTGGTCATTTTAGAATACCAAATCTGTGATGGGAGTTATGGGTAATAAGTCCTAAGTTGTGGGAATTGCTATGGTAATGGGTCTTATTGTAAACAGGGACATAATGACTCATCTCCTTGTCTTGTCCTCCAGTGGCATTTTCACATACCTGCTTCCACTRTTTTTGTATCCCTGAAATCTTACCTAACACTTTCATATTCTATATTCAACCCAAATTCCCTTATTGCCAGTTTTTACTATTAATCTCATGTAATTTTAATCCCTTTATTCTAATGGAGATCTCAGCAGTTCTTTATTACAAAGACTAGAACCATCATTTTACTCTTTGCTTCTATGAGTTCAAAGCTTTTCTATACTACACATAAGTTAGATCATGCAGTATTTACCCTTTAGGGACTGAAAGCTAGGGAAAGAATGGGGAGACGCTGGTCAAAGGTTTCAGTTAGATAGGATAAATTCTGGAGATCTATTCTACAGCCTAATGATTATAGCTAATAATATTATATCTGTAAAACTTGCTAAGCGAACAGGTCTTAAATGTTCTTTCCACATAAAAATGCTAAATATGTGAAGTAATGGGACATATCAGTCATACCCTAACAAAGCTGGAAGAATGGAGGATACTGACATGGCCCTTTCCAGTATATAAAAATCTAGCTGACTCTAGAGTTTTATATACTATTTAACTGTAATTGTGAGATTCGAAAGCATGAATGACATTGGTGAGCAGGGATATTGGATCTCTGGCAGTTGAAATTGTCTGTGGGTGTGTTTTAGGCATGCTGGTGGATGGCTAGATTTGGAATTGAGCTCTTGGTGGGGATCTCAAGCTCCCTAGTGTGGATAGTGAACAATCATAAAATGAAACTAGCATTCATTCCAACTGCACTTTGTCTTTTATTAAGGTAGAGATAGTAGTAGACAGTTTCCTTCATCTTCAAAAGGCACTTTATAAAGCAAATCTTTTTCAAGTTAGAAAGCAGTTGTATTTCTGCTCTTCCCTCTGTATTGTTTCTTTTATTATATAACTTATTGAACAAATTGTACTATACTTTTGAAATGGAACATGTAATGTTACTGCTATGATTTCTATGTTGTTCAATTTGTAGTAATATTCACAGCAAATGGTGAGTTAAAATGCCTCTTCAGAAAGGGGCAAGTATCATTATTAATGGCAATACAATGGAACTTTCCAAAAGACCCTGTTTCAGTTGATGTGGACATGCTTTCTTTAGCACAATTTATGAGTTGACAATTAAGAAGATAGTTTGTATCTATAAATAAACACAAACACTAAACTACCTAGTTTTTAGCTAAAATTTGTGGCAGCATTGTCTTAATTTGTAAATTCTTATTTTAATACTGCTATCAAACAAATTTCCTAAGAATTTTCAACTGTTAAATTTGTTTAAATAATTATGGAATTATAGCTTTGTAGAACATGCTTTTTCCCCCCAACTAATGAGACATTTTTATATTCCTGGAAGATGTAGTGTACCTTCAACTTTATAGCATTAATATCATAGATTTAGATGTTTACCAGAAAATACCTAAGAAGTAAATGGAAGTGATGTGATTGTGACATCAATTCTGACAACTGGAATGGATGAGAAAAGGGCAATACCTAAAACACCGTTCTCSTTATATAATATGAATGAAAAGAACACTAGTGAAGGAAGAGGAGGAGGTACTTTCAGAGGAGAAATGGTTACYGAAGACAAATTCTGGAGGCAGAGTGCTAATTGGAAAGAACTTGGGTTTTAGAGTTAGATAAATTTGGTTTGAATCTCAGCTAAAGTCTTTGGGGCACATCAGTTACTTATCATGACACTCTTCTGCTCTGTAAAATGAGGGTGCTAGTGGTGAGGATAATGAAGAGAGTGGGGGAGTTTCATTGGGACTGCTTACCATGATACTTCCTTCATGTAGGCAAAAACAAACAATAGTATCCTTCTCCCTGACTCTGACAGTCTTGTGGGAATTGCCATCTATCCCTTAGCATCAGAAGAGTTACTTTAGGAATTAGGAATTTAACTGTTTCATTCTATCTTGAAGAGACCTGTATCTAGCTGATTTGGCAGATTCTGTCAGTGGGCAAGGGAAAACAAATGTTTAAGGATGTGGTACACATTTTCTTCTTCTAGTAGTAAAATTGAACAGTGAGCATCATTGATTGTCATATTTTGAATTCTACTCTAGTAGCAAAAGAAGGAAGATTCTCAGTGTACTGTTATCAGTCTGGTGATCTGCTTCTCTTAGGAGTCAGTTGTCAGATAATTTTATAGGAATTCAGTTTTTATTCTGCTCAGTTATTTGAGGGTTACATCCGTCACACTTGATTTTCATTCTCTATTACATTTCTGTTTGTTATAAAAAGTTCTAATCTGATTTTATTCTTTTGTTCAGATTTCTCAATCATATAATGTACACTGTTTTTCCCCTTCAGTAATAAGTCCAGTGATTTTTCTTGTGTCTAAAATATCATTTCTCCTTGACTGACTCAGGAACCCTATATAAAGGGTTGTCTACCACCCTTTTGTGTCTCTGTAATTTTTCCTAAGGTACAGTTAATATCATGTTTTAAATAGTGAATAGATTTCCATTGTCTAAGAGTGGCTTTCGTTCAAGGATCCACTGGGACCAGGATCTGTTTTCAGCCTCTGCATTCTTTCTGCTCCAGCTCTACCTTCTCAGAGCTATTATCTATGTTTTTGTTCATGTGCACTTATTTGGGCTCCTTCCTGGTATAAAAGAACTCCCTGAGAAAGCTCTGGGATCTTTCACATTTGTGTAATATTTGGTCTTTCTGTCTTGTCCTTAGTTTGAGCTAATTTCTCTGTGCCCTCAAAACATGTCTCCAATACCTGTTTTGACACTAAGGCATTTATGCTTTGTAGTAGAGTTAGGTGTTGGTTGCTTTTTTCTGAGTTTCTTGRCAGTAGGAGGCCATGTCATATTTAAAATTTGAGGTTTTTGAGCTTTTATTCCAGTACCTTTACATTGTGATGTGACGCACAACATGGATTTGATGAATTACATTGAATATAGTATAAACTTTGTGAAATCATCTATTCTTATGAGGCAGAAAAGTATTCAGTTTGGTTTATCTTCTACTTGAAAAATATGTGTGAATTTTATTTGTTAATTGTAGGAGATTATACTGTTTCTTGGTCAATTTTACTTAATTTCCTAGACCAGTGATTTTCACAGTGACTGATAGATGACTTAACCATAATACTAAAGCTGTGCCATGCTAGTTTTAAAACTCATCCTTTCAAGTTAGGAAAACCAGAACTCCTGAGAATGAACTTTATTTTCAGGACCATCACATTAGTAAAAGTCACTGAAAATGAGTTCTGCTTGGTTAGCAATAAGGTGTCTGCAGAAAATCAACTTCAAGCTCTGCCTTTTACTCCTCACAAGAAAACATTTTAATCATAATTGACAATGTAATGATTGACTACTGAGTTCTCTTTGGCTTTGCCTCCTTTTCAGAATTAAGACTATTTTATTTTGTTCCCTAAACAAAGACTGCAGCCTCAAGCCTGTATCCCTAATATTCTTAGAGTTGTCATTTTTGGCTTTACTGGCAGATAGACTATACTTTAAATGAACATTAGCTATAGAAATGTGTTTATCTCCAGACTGCAGTATGTGGATCATKCTGGTCTTCAGAACAAGCCTGTAGTTAGTTCACATACATCTGTCATGTTGTGGTGTRTATCTTAAATGTCCCCCAAAGACTGTGTGTTGAAGGCTTGGTTTCCASACAATGGCACTATTGGGAGATGGTGGAAGCTTTAGGAGGTAGGACCTAGCAGAAGGGAATTAGGTCAATGGACATTTGCCCTTGAATGAGATAATGGGATCCTTTCTTTCTTTTGCCTCTGGGTTGACATGAAGTAAGCAGCTTTGCTCCACTGTGTGTTCATTGCCATCATGTTATGCCTTGCCACAAGCCCAAAGCAATGGGACCTAGTAAGTATGGACTGAAACTTCTGTGAGCCAAAATAAATCTTTTCTGTTATAAATGGATTTATCTCAGGTCTTTTGTTATGAGAAGCTAACACACATATAATGAGCTGTTACCTCATCCTTCAAATATTTTATTTCATGGTGAAATGAAAGACATCTGTTTTCTCAATTTAAATTTGGCCAATTATAGTATTTTTCTATTTTTGGATTGTCTGATAGTCTAAGGATGTTACCAGTGTTTTCAAATAGTTTTTTAAAATTTTAGAGAAAAGAGTAATTACTTAATTCCCCAATTAAGTAATCTTTTCAACTCTGAGATTTCATAAAACTTTTGTTTTCATAATGTCATAATAGTCATTTAGCAGAAATTGCTAAACATCCACCTTATGCCTGGTATCATGTTCAGTGCTTAGAATGCACTAGTAAGTCAGATACATGCTTTGTATTTGGATTTTATGGTCAAAGGCAGAGAAGAAATGGTTACATGTAATAACAGATTCTTTGGGAGCACACTGAATGGGAATCTGATCTGATCTAGAAGGTCAGAAAAGGCCTTTAGGAAGAGCCACATTTAAGTCAGAATCTGAATATTGAACATTCAGGAGAGATGAGTTCTGAAGGCATGAGAATGTGTTCTAGACAGAAGGAAGAACACAAGGCCTGAGACAAACATGGATAGAGGAATRTTTTTCAAACTTGGTTGCATGTTAGTTATCTGAAGAAATTAAGGAAAAGTCAAGTGCTGAGAGAAACAGTGGATACTTGGAAAACCACAATTAAGGCATTTTAAGTAGATGAGTGATACAATACAATTTGAGAACTGAGAAGACTGCTGAGCTGCAGCATGAGACAGATTGGCAAACGTGAGACTGGGTGAATGTGCAGAGCCCAGTTAAAAGCCATTACAGTGAATAGCTTGGGTAAGAGTGGTGTCAGTTGGGATGGCAAGTAATGAGGAGAAAAAAGTTGGCAAAAGGAAAGGAGAAAAGGCTAATTAAGTAGAAGGGAGTCCTAGGAAAGTAATGTCATATAAACCAAGTGAAGAGACTGTTCTGAGTATGAGGAAATGCATGAGATGAAACATGAAATGTCATACAAGGTAGAAATGATCCATTGAATAAGTGGCTGGTTATCAGTTATTCCATGGCAACTTTAATGAGAGAAGTAAAAAATAATTTATGTGTGTGTGTGTGTCTCTCTTTAAACATGTGAAATAATTTGTTTGATAGAATATCATTGGGAAATACATTTGTGAACATCTGGTTAGGAAAAGTCTTGAAGAAGAGTAAGGCCTAAAGGAAGCATAGAACTTCAATAAGCAATGGTTTACACAATCCAGGAAGGGAAAAAATATCCTGAGGTTTGGGTGTAGTGTGTTCAGGGTAAAATATATGGTTGTCTTAATGAAGTTTATGCTTTATTACTCTATTAAGGATTATGGGCAAGGGCTGTGTAAAGAATCCAGCATATAGGAGATACAGTATATAGGAGAGGAAAAATATTACAGGCAGGAAAACCTGTAGCCTGTAGGAGAAGGATAGCAGTATTCTGAGCAAAATAAGAACGTGGACTCAGATGCTATTAAGGAAAATTTTGGTTCCAAAGAGGTGCATTTTGAATCAAACAAAAATAATGCAATTTATTGACTAACTGTAGGCATCGAAGAAAAAGGAACTGCTCAAAGGGAACACAAGATTTAGAAAATAGATGGCTTAAAAAGAAAGAGCATTTGATCTAAGAGTGATACATAGATGTGTGTGTGTATGTGTGTGTGTGCACKCGAACATGCTATTTAAGTCCTCCATTGTTTATAAGGTCTAAAGATATTCCACGTTTTGAGAGACAAATAGGATATATATTAAATGAGCYAACATTTTAACAGGTTTTTTTTGATACCTGAAAGACCTATTGTCAGATTTTTCTTGTAGTGAGTGATATCTCATATAAAAAAGAAAAGATTTCTAAGATGTGAGTGGTGATTTTGAGCCCTACAGGGACARTGAGAGTGAGGACAGAGTCCCTTCACCCAAGTTAACAGAATTTATTGGGATACCCAGCACCCTGTGCAAATAACAGGTAAGTATATCAAGACTCTGAAGGTACTTAGGGTTACTAGTGTGCATGTTAGCTTTTATTATAATCTTCAGCACTTGGGAGAAACACYGTCATTAAGATTGAGAGGATTTTATGAATGTTTGGTGTGTCCTAGGACTGCAAGATTATTTCCTTGGAGAAGCCTAAGTTATTTGGAGATGTACACTTAGCAGTTATGGGGATAGTCTGGACTTTTACTGATTCCAAAATAAATAAGTGAGGAGCATAGGAATATAGTATTATCCACTATGCTCATATTTTAAGCAATACTGGCAAAACATAGTGATAATTACTATTGTCTGAAATTTTGTGGGTTTTCCTCCCTCTAATAGAAAGCAATTTTCTTGATATCAGTGATTTGTCAGTATGGTTTTATAAAAAAACATTTGTTTCTAGTSCTGCACAGTGAATGTTTTGATAGCTTTTAAACAAGGCCTGCATTTCATGGACTAGTTTCAATATGTCAGGTGTAAAAAATAAAATAAAACCGTGAAGGTAGAATCCATAAACCATGAGCCTGTGTATGGCAGGCTATAAAAAATGTGTGGTTCAAGTAAGGGTTTATCTCTAGGGACACAGTTCATATTTGGGGCATCCTAAARTTTCCTGATTGAGACCAACATGTTTGATACAGATAACATCAGTTAGACAAAAATATGCTTAGTTTCACATGAGATAAATCAATGGCCTTATAGAGGCAAAAACCTACAATTGTGGATTTACAARTTGCATTTTACCATTTGGATGTAATTTATAGGGTGGAATTGAAAGGTGAAGGAATTGGAAGGTGAATTAAAACTGGAGACTTCTTGTTGTACATATTCAGTTGTGATATAGTAAACATGCAATTTAGGTGGATGTTTGTAGATTGAAAGATTTCAGGCAACTGAAAGGCAATTAAAATGTTTGCAATATTTATGAATACTGAATACAATATTGAGGATCTTCTAAAATAGACAAAATCAACAAGTACTTAAATATATCATATTTGTTCAGTAGTGCTTAAYTTTCAAGATT